ACTGTGGCAAAAAAATGTTTTACTCAGCTTGTCATCAAGTGCACATTATTTGGTTTGGAAAGAAGTAGGATGTTAGGTGGACAAATAGAGATAATCTGACATTTTCTCACTGGCATCCCAAAATCTCGAATCTCGTCATCTCACTGCTGGGATCTATACATTAACCATGTCACACTTCGTACTGCAGTTACGTTAATTGAAGGACAAAAAGGTCAAACTCTTGATTAGAACATCGTCTGCCTTATTAGTTCACTTTTTAGATACTCTTCGTATTGGAAATCTCCAGCCTACCTATAATAATCCTACAATACCAATTGTGCACGCAAAATGGATATGTTGTAATCAGCTTGGTAAATGACCCGGATAGTTATAGCGCTAGCGAAATACTTGTTTTAAGTTCCCAGAAAGGATAATTCGAGCACCATCTCTTTCGTCACAAAAAATAAACTCCATTGTATAAGAAAACGATTCATGTTGTACAGCAGGAATTCCTCTTTCAAATAGTGCATGCACTTCTTATGGCTATGTTTTCGATTTTCTAGAGTATTTTTGAGCGAGAAAAAGTATGAACAACCGACAATTCAATATTTTCTTTCATCTATGTAAAAGAAGCTAAAATCACTCCAAGCCCGTTTCGATTTTACAGAGATCTTGTTCGAACTATTGTCACAAAGTTTCAGGTTCGCGTGTTGATGTTCGACGAAACTTGCAATACTTTTCGAGAGTACACGGAGACTATCGCACTGGCTTGCATACCTGTAGTACAGGTGAGCACTAATGCTATACTAGAAATTCAATTACACCAGCAGAAAGAGGATAGATCTTGATAAACGCTCTATTCGGTAGCTGCAGAACAACTACCGGTGCCAGCTACGCTTAAAAAAAGCATAGAGTACCCGCGTTCTAACCTTCGTCTCTGAGGAGATGTTGCCCTGGGTTGTTTTGTGATAAGGGCACATGCTCAAAAGTATAAAATTTATTCCAAACACCAGAATACTGCCTATCGTTATAGTTTCAGGCAAACGCGAACGCCGACGGTGAAGCAGACTTCATGTTCCCAATCAAAGCTGAAGTACCTGTCTGAAAATGTATCATGTACTGTGAAGTAGCAAACAACGAATATGACCATGTGACTACACTCATGTGGAATCATATCTCTGAAACCTCTGATCTCATTTTCCTAAATTCTGCTTCCATGTAGGAGAAAGAGATGCTTGAGAAACACATGTGTATCTGTTATCCAATCAAGCCTAATTAGCACTCTGTCATATTTCACTAGATTCGATTGTAACATCATGTACAGATTGATTGACGTTGATGTTACATTGTTCGTGTGTCTATCTGCCTTCAACCCAACGGACATAGCAGAACTCTCCTTCTCGCTCAAATCACCTCGAGCCCGAATCTGTTCTTCTGTCGAAAACGAGTCATAGCGTCCGTCACCAAGGCTGGATCTGCTTTGGCTTTTACCTGACAAAAGTAGTTGGTGACGCGGCATACTTAATTATATATGATAAATGTCATGCTACATGCTATTTCTAGGATCAGTCCCTTAATTTTTATTTCGTACACTCGCGCGTTTGTTTCATTGTTATTTCGGCGATCACCTCGGCAAGCTCTTTCATGAGCTCGAGCACTGCGCCAAACATAGGATTCCCTTTATTTCTTATTTCCTCATCTTTTGGTGTGTGACATATCTTGATCTCTGGGAGGTCTGGACGCCTTCAAGCGCTTCAAGACATTGTTCCCTTCACTCTTCCCCTCTCATTCCAACAGTGATTAGGAGGCACGGTTTTTTCTGTTATTTTTTGTACTTCTAGTCTTTGTGCGCCTACATTGTCGCTCTTCAAATATTTCTCATAAAACATTTCAAGACTATAATCTCATGAGAACAAACCAGTATCGAAAGAATTTGTGGAGATTTTATAACAAAAAGTGCTTGATCGACGACAAAGATACCTACAAAATTATGGTGGAAAAGATTGCCAAAGAGCCAACGAACATTAAAAAAACAAGAGAAATGATGCCTTCTGGTGATCTGGGGTTCTAGTAATCCCCCGGAATTTGTCACAACGAGGACGAGCCACACTCGTGGCAGCTCCGAGCATGGCATAAGTTAGCCGCGCTCTGGCGTTTCAGTAGCAATACCAAAAAATAAGCAGATTTTGCTAAAGTCTCTCTAAATTTACTGTTCGAAACGTTTCCTTTGTAATATTCAAGTGATAAGACCCGTTAAATCGAACAAATGGCCCGGAGCTTTGGATACATAGCTGGTTGGTTTTCTTCAAAGGCTCAGTGGCAGCTTACGCTACTATTTGCCCCCTTCGAGTTTCTCCTTCAAAT